TTTTTTTTTTGTATTGTCGTCGTCTTCCTCGAGTTGTATGAAACCTCGAGTTGATTATATATACTGTTTGTAATCATCATATTCATATATATGAAAATTAAATCTTCGACCAAAACGAGTATGAATTAAATCAAACAAGTATGTGGATGACAAGTGGAAATTACTTTTCCTCTTCTTCCATTCAATAGAAATAGTATACCACACTCGCTTCTCTTTTGGTCATTCCTCATATCAACCCTTTGAAAATTTCACTCGTAATGAGAAATGTCTCTATGGGATGAGGACCAAGAATGATTGGTGATTTGGTCTCAGTAAAGATGGATTTCGAGGGTTCGTGTAACATCATCATTTTGATAGCAGAAGATTAGCCGTACACAAATTAAGTACCCATATAGGTCGCCTCGCGGGCCAAATTGATAAAGATTAGCCCGGGTTATTGATAGACCACTAAAAGTGTATACAAGGAAGAAGAAAGAGAAGGCTGAGCCGGACAGATCAGAGTAGAGGCATTGGTGAGCTGGCAAGATGCGATTGGATAAGGGATATATTAGTTGTTTTTGACAGTTGGAGTAGTGACAAAAAAAACAACACAAAGTGCAACAAATTTACTAAACCAACTATACCAATTATTCTTAGGATTAATTACTAGAATATACTTGACAAATGGACTAATTATTAGAATAGTCTTGACAAAATATCAAAATACTAAGAAATGGTTTAAAAGACATATAAACCAAGGTTATGTTTTGTTATTACAAAAATGTCATTTTGACTTAAAAAAAAAAATATGAAGAATATGTTTGAAGCGGCCGCGGAGGCTGCGGAACCATCAGAGGCGCGCGCGGCGGAGGTATGGAGGCTGAGGAAGCACTGGAATTGAGATAAAATCGGATTAAAAATCATAAGGTGAAAAAAAAAACTCAAAATCTTTTGATTTTTTATTAGAAAAATGATATATGATGTTAGATCTACTAATTTTAGGCTAAACCCAGTTGAAAACAAGTTAAAATACAATAAAAACGAGCTAAAAAGTTGTTGGCCGCCATTGTTGTCGTTTGACAGCTTTTG